GAAAAACCGAGCCGAGCGCACCTCTGGAACTAGTCTGCAGTTACCTCGGTTCGGTTGTGTCTAGTTGTTCAGTTTGCTTTCCATTTACACACGATAACTTATCTCAGTTACTGAGCTCGAACCGGTCTCGGCACGGTTTTTCAAGGGTAGTGTAAATGGGGTATTTTATTGAGGGTGAAGATTGTTTAAAGTGAGTCTAATTGATCCAATTCCAACCACTGAATGACCTCAATAGCAGAAAATAACACTTTGGAAATGGCCTAGTCAAAGCTGAGTTATGATCTCTTTTGTGTGAACTCACCAGGTTCATGCCATTTTCTGACACTTGAGCGTTGTAGGACTCTATCTTGACTCGCACCTCTTCCTCCGACAGCTGCTTAGCACCTCCCTCCTCTTCCTCCTTTGCTTCATTTTGCTGGGAAGAGAAAAATCAGTATCAGCAAATTCAATGCTGTCTCTTTGCCAGAAGATGGCGCTGCTTTAGTACTTTCAGTTGAACAAATACATCAAAAAAGTTAATGACAAACTTTTTAACCCTTATGGATTTAACGAAGGAGTCTGCTGGTGCATTTAGTGATACAGAGACCAAATTAAAAAAGGGGGGAGATGTTGTAATAGAACATCTGCTTCCTTGGCTTCTCTGCAGGGACATAACACCATGCTCAAGCTGTGGAGTCAAGAAATCTTGTGAATGGAGCTTTAGAACACAGCTAGCATGCTGCCATGAAAGGAAGATGTGGATGGGGGAGTCACAGAGGGGGAGACTCTGAAAGAGGGGTGAGGAATGATGGAAGAAAGCTGCTGAGCAAGCCTTAGCAACACATAGTTTGACTGAGTTATTTATAGTACGCCGGGATCCATCCTCTCTATCTCACTACAGCTTCCTCCCCCCTCCTTCTCTCTCTTTTCCTCTTCTACAGTTCGTTTGCATTTTCTGAGGCAGTTGGAGGGGGGGGCAAACATTACTGGACGAGTGAAGGGTGATGAGGTCACAGTTACAGGGGGAGTTTGCGCTTTTTACATGAATCCTGGAGGACAGTAGAGCAAGAAGAGCTCCGAGGATCAGAGGGAAGGAAGTCGAAGGATCGTCTGTTTAGTTTGGTTCTGAAATATCTGAACTGGATGACATGTTGAAGCATCGATCTAAACAAACCCTTCAACCTCTTCTCATTTCACTAGAAGGTGCTCAACCAGAGTGGGCCGGTGATACGTTAAAGGAAAACAATAAATCTGCCAATAAAAGCCACACCAGTTCAGCTCCAGTGTTTATGTGATTATTCTAAATGCGCCAAGCCTAGAACTATTCACTTTTAAAATCACTGTTACCGGTATTTAAACACTATGAAATGAGATTGATTTCTAAATGGATTAGAAATATTTGAAAAAAACTGGTTTCAGTTACATTTTATTAAAAATGTGCACCTTAAAACAGGCTCTTACTTTAACAGTGACCAATTTAAAAACCTGAATTAGAATTAAGGCAGTCTATCCCTCTCTGCTGGGCAGCCCTCTGTGTTTTCCTAAAGGTAGAGTTAACGTTTATCTTTGATGATGAGCTCCAAGTGTTTGAGAAGTGGAAGGCCTCCTCACCATGCCCCTAATCTTTACAGTAGTATCTACTACAGCAGACCTTCTACAATGGCTCTAACTCCAGCTAAAACGATAAAGAACCGGTTACTGCTTTTAAACATAAAGTGGTAAACATTATTCTGGCAAGGTGTCTTTACCAGCTGATATTAGCTTTAAAAATAAACATTGGATATTAGGAGAGGCCATGTTTATGTGAAAAGCAAGTGGGAATTTTGCCTGCAGTGCCAGTGACTTTATCCTGAAGAGATGCTTAAGTAAAAATATTGGGGTAGTGAATATTTTTTGACATTTTTTTTTTTTATTTAAACACCAGTAATTCATTAATCCAGTAGTTCGTTCAGGTTGCATTTTAAGTTTTTCTGACAGACTGCGGCCTCCTGCTGATGTATTTTTGGTCATTCTTGTGTTTTTGCTCAGTTTATGATCAAATAAAGCCCTTCTGTGAAAAAAAAAAAATAACAGAGGTGCGATGCTAAGGGGGCAACCAAGGGAGAAATAGGGATAAGCTAGTTAGCTTAGATATTAATGAAGTAAAGCCTAAAGGTTAGGGTTATAATTATGAATAAAACTAAAATAAATTAATATTTTAAAAAAATGTTGATTCCCAGAGGCATAAGACTGAAATACCGCAGGGTTTTGTTCATTGAATGAAAATGTTTCAGCCAACTGCTTTTTAACATTTATTTACTGAAATATTTCTCACCTTGATGCTGTGTCCCTGTTTGTGTTTGATAGGAATGGGAATGTTTTTTCCTTAAAGTTCCAATAGGAGGTTTTGAGAAGGATTGACTAGAACTGAGTCGCTGTAGATCAGTTTCTTTAATTAATTAGTAATTAATCGGCTGGTTATCAACCACGCTGAGCTGTCACTTTGTAAGACGGTCAGGCTCCACTAAGTAGTCGCATATTCCCACCATCTGGCTTTCCCGTAGTTCTATGGAACTACCAGCAGGTGGCAAAACATCTGTTTAGCTCACCCGGCCCAGTGCTGTAATTCTATTTAGGCTCAAAAACCACTATTTAAATACCACCAGGACGGACGCGATGAAGCATATAACAGGACTATGCATCTTTAAAGTTTCAAAGATGGATAGCTGAACTGCTATTTGCAATAACTGCACAGGAGGGAAGGAATTAAATGGTTTCTATTAGGAAAAAATATTGGACATCAGCCTGATATGATGCATAAATATATATATATATATATATATATATATATATATATATATATATATATATATATATATTAAATAAAATCATAAAGTCACTTTTGTCATTGTCTTGAATGGAAGGGTATGAAAACTTTTAGGCAGAACAATAATTAAAAATATCACTGATTTCAGTATTTTTTCCCATTTTTTGTTGAATAAATGATCTGAACTCCACAAAAGAATGACTCTAAAGGTAGTATTGTTTCTTTTTGATCAATTTTAATTTGCATTACAATAAAAACTCCCTCACATCACACAGATATTAGCATCCTGTTGATGAAAATAAATCTAATCTTTTTGACAAAAAAACTATCTTTTTCTAAAGAAAAAAATATTTCTTTTTTTTTCATCTGGGCAACTTTTGCCGCCGTTAAGGAGTTTCATTTAGCTGATTTAAAAGTAAAGGTTGCAGATCAATTTAAACCCTCAATTTTCTAGCAGTGATAATCATTTTGGGATCATCTGAGTGTTTTTATGTAGCAATTAAGACAATATTTACTTGATTAACGAAAAAACGACAACATCCGTGTCCGCTGTAAATCTCAGCAAACAACGTTTTAATTTCCAACCAAAATATGTGTTTAACCTAGACTATAGTTTCATTTAGGGATGCACGATATTGGGATTTTGGCCGATATCCGATATGCCGATATTTTAAAACTCATTTAGCCGATAACCGATATCGATACTGATGTTAAAGCTGGACAAAAATAAGTAGTCATTGAAAATAGCAGTTTTATTATCCATTTCTGACACTTTGAAAAATAATAAACTCAAATATATTTTCATATGCTGATATCAAATTGATTTTTTAAAACACGGTATCGATCTATTTTACTTTCAAAATCTCGTGAAATTTAATCGTTCTGTTACAAACTCTTGTGATATTTTGCAAATTCTTGTGAGATTTTGTTAGTAAAATAGATCGATACCGCGTCAATATATCAACATATAAAAATATGGCAAAATTTCGTGCATTTTCGGGGGATTTCGTAGCATAACGATGACATATAGCAATATTTCGTTAATAAAAGATATTGATATGGT